AGACGATACGAATCTCTCTTCAGCTTATAGTTGCAAAATATGTAAAACGAATTTATTAGGGCTTATTTTCAATGATTAATTGTGTTTACCACGCATCAAAATTTTTTTTTCCTTCATATACCCTTTGATTTTTTTATGATTAAACCTTCTCAATTAAGTTTAATTTTTTTAGTCTTGGATTAGTTCAGTTAGATTTTTTTTCAATCTACGCGCGATGGCTTACACTTTGTATCATTACATATAGTGTGTCAAGTGTAACCTGTCTCTATAGCTCTTCCTCGTTTTAACGTATATTTTAAACAGATAGAACGTCTTCAAATCACCAAAATTAGTGATTTTTTAGTTCTATCCAGATACAAGTTGAAGCAGCGAAAAGTGTTAAGTAATGCTTTTAACGTCAAAAACGATTTTGTGCTAAAAAATAAGCATTCAGTATTAGATCAACTCAAAGTAGCTTTATCAACTGACGTCAAAGATTATACATACAAAGCAAATAAGAAATTACTACTAAAAATACAGAAACTCAAGAAGAAGAAGAGTTTACACAAACCCAAGAAGAGCAATATGTCGAACCTCTCGTTGAAGAATGTTAATCAGAGCCTAAATACTGAACGTATAAAACCCGCGTTTGAGCATATACTTTTAGGCAACGACCATACCACGTTGAATAATACCGGTTCTCGTCCGATCACCGAAGTTAAGCAACGTCGGGCGCGGTTAGTACTTGGATGGGTGACCGCTTGGGAACACCGCGTGCCGTTGTCTTTTTGCTTCTTTGCAATGCAAGCAAATGTTGCAAATAAGAAAGATATTTTACATTCAAAAGGAAATTAAATTACATTTTACCTATTCCTGATCTATTTATAAATTATTCAACCAAGGATAATATTAAAATTATTATTGCCATCATGCGTTAAACAGTTTCAATATTTTATGGCTTCTATTAATTTATGAAGTTATCACTTCTGTCGAGCGTCCCGTGACGCACACCATTTTTCTATTAGTTGGTGACGGTGAAGAAAATGTTCTATACTTTAATAGTTCTGCTTAAATTATTGTTTGACAATTTTTTTATAGCACGGAAAACACTTTCGAAATAGGCTTCAAACGTCAGTGGAAACAAATCATTGTGGTTTCATCGCTTGCTTAGCGTCTGACCTGTTCTATCGATTATCGAAGTTATCAAGATTAAACCTGAATCACCCTGTATCTCTATTTTAAACAGTGTGAGGTTTATTTGCTTTTTCATTGTTTCAGTTATCGAAAAATACACAGAAAATATCAGGTTTTGCATTATTTGCAACTATCTAAGCAAAATAATACCTGCCCTTCAGTCAAGGTGTACCAGATTTCGCTTTGGGCCATTGTCACCGGACCAGATCATGCCAAGGCTGAATTATGTTGTTGATGAGGAAAAGTAAGTTAACTGAATTTTATATTTGTACTAATAGGGTAGGCAATGAAAATAACTTTTGTGAAAAAAAATAACAGGCAAGAACCAGGTGGAAAAATTTATTGAGCTCTCAACTAAGAAAAAATCAAATTTAAACACGAAAACA